CATCTGTGCTAATCCTCCTCTTTTTGCTGAGGAAGGCCGGCTCTGAGCTAACATCTATTTCCAATCCTCCTCCTTTTTTTTCCCCAAAGCCCCGGTAGATAGTTGTATGTCATAGTTGCACATCCTTCTAGTTGCTGTATGTGGGACGCCGCCTCAGCATGGCCGGAGAAGTGGTGCGTCAGTGCATGCACGGGATCTGAACCCGGGCTGCCGGTAGCAGAGCGTGCGCACTTCACCACTAAGCCACGGGGCCGGCCCTGTAGTAGATTTTGAAGTGAAGGATTGTGATGCCTCCAGCTTTGTTCTTTTTTCTCAGGATTGCTTTAGCTACTAAGGGTCTTTTGTTGCCCCATACGAATTTTAGTATTCTTTGTTCTACTTCTGTGAAGAATGTCATTGGGATTCTGATTGGGATTGCATTGAATCTGTAGATTGCTTTAGGTAGTATGGACATTTTAATTGTGTTTATTCTTCCAATCCATGTGCATGGGATATCTTTCCATTTCTTTATGTCATCATCGATTTCTTTCTATAATGTCTTATAGTTTTCATTGTATAAGTCTTTCACCTCCTTGGTTAAATTTATTCCTAGATATTTTATTCTTTTTGGTGCGATTGTAAATGGGATTGTCTTTTTGAGTTCTCTTGCTGTTAGTTCGTTATTAGAGTATAGAAATGCAACTGATTTTTGTAAGTTGATTTTGTGAGGAAGACCAGCCCTGAGCTAACATCTATTGCCAATCCTCCTCCTTTTTTTTCCCCTTTTTCTCCTCAAAGCCCCAGTAGATAGTTGTGTGTCATAGTTGCACATCCTTCTAGTTGCTCTATGTGGGACGCCGCCTCAACATGGCCAGAGAAGTGGCACGTCGGTGTGCGCCCAGGATCTGAACACGGGCTGCCAGTAGCGGAGTGCATGCACTTAACCGCTAAACCATGGGGCCGGCCCCCTGTAAGTTGATTTTGTACCCTACAATGTTGCTGTAGTTGTTGACTATTTCTAATAGTTTTCCAATGGATTCTTTAGGGTTTTCTATATATAAAATCATGTCATCTGCAAACAGCAAGTGTTTCACTTCTTTGTTGCCTCTTTGGATTCCTTTGATTCCTTTTTCTTGCCTAATTGCTCTGGCCAAAACCTCCAGTACTATGTTGAATGAGAGTGGCGAGAGTGGGCACCCTTGTCTTGTTCCTGTTCTTGGAGGAATGGCTTTCAGTTTTTCCCCATTGAGTATGATGTTGGCTGTAGGTTTGTCATGTATGGCCTTGATGAGGTACTTTCCTTCTATACCTGTTTTGTTGAGAGTTTTTTTTTTTTTGGTGAGGAAGATCGGCCCTGAGCCAACATCTGCCAATCCTCCTCTTTTTGCTGAGGAAGACCGGCCCTGGGCTAACATCCACACCCATCTTCCTCCACTTTATATGGGATGCCACCACAGCATGTCTCGACAAGCGGTGCATCGGTGCACACCCAGGATCCGAACCAGTGAACCCCGGGCCACTGCAGCAGAGCACGCGCACTCAACCGCTTGCACCACTGGGCCAGCCCCTTGTTGAGAGTTTTTATCATACATGGATGTTGGATCTTGTCAAATGCCTTCTCTGCATCTATTGAGACGATCATGTGGTTTTTGTTCCTCGTTCTGTTAATGTGGTGTATCACATTGATTGATTTGCAAATTTTGAACCATCCTTGTGTCCCTAGGATGAATCGCACTTGATCATGGTGTATGATCTCAGTTTGCCAATATTTTGTTGAGGATTTTTGCATCTATGTTCATCAGCAATATTGGCCTGTAATTTTCCTTCTTTGTATTGTCCTTGTCTGGCTTTGGTATCTGAGTGATGTTGGCCTCGTAGAATGTGTTAGGAAGTGTTCCGTCTTCCTCTATTTTTTGGAATAGTTTGAGAAGGATAGGTATTAAATCTTTGGAAGGCCTTTTTATCCTTCCTGCTGAGGGACACCTGGAAGCTGGGCAGATGAGAAAGGCTCTAGGCCACGATGGCTGAGGAAAATAGAAAGGCCAGCAGCTGACCACCTGGCAGAGAGGAGGCAGAGGAGTGTGGAGCCAGCATTGCTTGAGGGGAGTGGGGCCTGGGTGAAGGTGAGGTGGAGAAGCAGGGAGAAGAGAAGAGCATAGGGATTTTTCTTCTGTTCTGGAGATTTGGGTTTCTCACCAACCTGGACGGCACTACCCCGGCAGTAGAGTGCAGCCTAGTGGTCAATAACATGAGCTCTGGGCCCAGAGAGACCTGGGTTCAAATCCCAGCTCCATTGCTTCCTAGCAGTATGACCTTGAGCAAGGCACGTCACTTGTCTAAATTTGGTTCCTCAGCCATAAAACTGAGGTCCTGCTGGGATCTACTACATGGGGCTGCAATGAAAATTCAAGATGGCGGGTGTGAAACTCCTAGGGTAATGCTTTCCCTGTAGTAGATGCTTCGTTCAGGTTAGCTGCTGTTAGTCTTTTGTCCTAACCTCCATTTCTGTGGTCAGCTGAATAATGGCCCCCCTCCCAAAGATATCCATGTCCTAATCCCCAGAACCCATGAATATGTTACCTTATAAGGCAAAAGGAATTTTGCAGATGTGATTAAAATAAAGATCTTGAGATGGAGAGATTGTCCTGGATTATCCAGGTGGGTCTAATCTAATGACAAGGGTCTTAAATAGGGCAGAGGTAGGCAGGAGGGTCAGAGAGAAGACGTGAGGATGCAAGCAGAGACTGGAGTGGTGAAGACATGAGCCAAGGAACTCAGGTGGCCTCTAGAAAGTGGGAATGGCAAGGATTGGATTCTGCCCTAGAGCCTGCAGAAGGAACACAGCCCTGCTGTCACCTTGATCTTAGCCCAGTGAGACCCTTGTCACCCTTTCAACCCCCAGAATTATCAGGTAATATATCTGTGTCGTTTAAAGCCACTAAGTTTGTGGTGATTTGTTCCAGCAGCACTAGGAAGCTAATATAGTTGTCTTTCCATAAGTGTGAGCCTTTCCTGGCTGAACCCACTGCTCCTCCAAGCCAGATGTGCCCCTTCCTTTCCCCAGGGCCTGACAGTTAGCGAGCTGGTGCAGTGGTTCTCTAGTGTGATCCCTGGACCAGCAGCAGCAGTATCGCCTGGGAACATTTAAGAAACGGAAGCACTCAGGCCCCACCCCAGACCTGCTGACCCAGAAACACTAGGCTGGGGCCCAGGAATCTGTGCTGTACAAGCCCCCCAGGGGATGCCGCTGCACCCTCAAGTTTGCCAACTGCAAAGTTCGTTTATTTGCGTGTCAGCCTTCCCTTCTGTAGAGCAGGCAGGGACTACTACTACCTGGTCACCCTGGTCAGGAGAGGGACGTCTCCTCAATGCACACATGGAGCACCTCTGTCCCAGCAGCCTTTGGGCGACACTGCGATCCTCTGCTGGGTCTTCTTGTTCAAGGCTTGATGTATTCTTTTTTTTTTTTACTGAAGTGTAATTGATGTACAGTATTCTATTAGTTTCAGGTATGCAATATAGTGATTTGATATTTTTAAGGTTGTATATATTCTTGATATCTGGGTTCTTAGTAAGTGCTCAATCAATATTTAAGAGTATCTGATGGACTGACTGAATGAATGAACGAATAAATGAATGAAAGTAGTCCCCTGCTGCTTGAGAGACACATGTGCCTAGCCCTTGTATTTCTCGTCACCTGGTAGTGAGTTCTAGAGGCTTGGTCAAAGGACGGTGTATTTTTCAAAAGGTCTCCAGTGTTTAAAAACAAAGAACTCCCTCCTGTTCCCCTTTCAATCTAAGGACGAACCTTCTCTTCTCACGCCTGTGTGAAAACCACATTCTTCACCCAGACCTCTGGATCCACTGGCCTCCTTAGCTCACGAGGACACCCAGGGGGCCTGGCAAGGACTGCCACAAGCGACTGTGGAGAACGATAACTGGAATAGGTGTGCAGGAGGGTGTGTGGGAGTGTGTGGTGTGAGAGGGTGTGCATGTGAGGGCTTACATGGGAGTGTGGGTGTGAGTGTGAGCATGTGTGTGTGAGGGCATACGTATGGGAATGAGAGAGTATGTATAAGCGTGTGTTTGTGTGAGAGTGTGTGAGTATGAGAGTGTGGCTGTGCAAGAGGATGTGGGTGTGTGAATGTGTGTATGTGAGGATGTATGTGTGGGAGAGTATATGAATGTGTGTGGGTTTGTGTGTATGTGCATGTATATGAGTGAGAGTATGTGTGAGCATGTGTGAGTGTGTGAGTGAGGGCTTGTGTGAGTGTGTGACTGTGAGCCTGTATGACTGTGTGCGTGTGTGTGTGTGTGAGAGAGACAGAGCATATGTATGTGAGTGTGTGAGCATGCATGTATGTGAGGGAATATGTGTGTGAGTGGGGGGGCATGCATGTGTGAGGGGGTATGTGTGAACATGTGTGAGTGAGGGCTTATGCAAGAGTGTGTGTGGGTGTATGTGAGGACATATTTGTGAGTGTGTGAGAGTGGGTATGTAAGGGCACACGTGTGTGAGCATATGTGAGTGTGAGAGTATGTCTGGGTGTGGAAATGTGTGTATGTGAGTGACAGGGTATGTGTGAGGGAGTGTGTGTGAGTGTGAGAGAGGGTATGAGTGAGGTGGGCATGTGCTTGGGGAGAAGGATGTACAGTGACAGCAGGTGGCCAGCTATATACAAAGTGTGCCTGTGCAACACAGTGGGCCCATGGGCTTTAAGCCCCCGGGTTGTGTGCCCTGCCTGGCCCCTCACAGACCAGAGCAAACTGAGGGCAGCAGCCAGAGCTGCTGCTTCCCCTTGTATTCCTGCAGCACTTGCCCAGGGCCTCTCACAGGGGGCCAGCCAGGAAATGTGGGTTAAAATTAATTGATGATAATTACGACTGGCTTCAGGACAGGTGCAGTGAGAGTGTGCCCTGTCTGCCAGGCCCCTTCCCTGCTTGTCTCCCAAGGCCTGGGGTCACCCTGAGCTCCGCACCTGCGGATCAATGAAGTAACTTCCCCAAGTCGGCTAAGTGGGATATGATATGGCTTTCAAAGTCAGCAACAAATAATCACTGACTGGTGACAGTCTACTTGTATAGAAGCCGGATTAATCCAACAACACCTAAGGCTGCTCATCGCTTACAGGAAGCCGCACTGCAAGGCTGGCCTGTGAGTGATGTTTCGGTGGGTCCCTTGCCAGGCAGGGAAGGCCCATCACCTGCTTGCTGCAGGACTTGCTTGGGTGCTTCTGATGAGCAATCAGAAAACTGTTCTGTGCAGGCAGCAGCAAGGGAACCGTGTTCTGAGGAGGGGGCCCCCTCCACTGAGGCTCCAGCGACTGCTGTCACAAGCATCCCGGGGAAGGTGACCTCTAAGAGAGTTTTGGACCTTCCCAGGAGGGTGGACATAGACAAGGAGTTAGGGATGGGCTCCCAGCTTTACACAGGGGAAGGAATGGGCAGGAAGAGTAGTCCAAGGCACCAAGGGGTAGCAGGCTGGGTCAGGGCCTGTCACAGGTGACATGACCACCCTCATTGTTGTCCATCCACACTATTACATCACTTCTAGGCTTGGCCTCATCTTCTGGTCACTGCCTAGACAGGAGTTAGGACAGAGCCATGTCATGAATAATGGATTCCAGGCCATTTTAGGGCACCTATAGGAAAACTGGGACATGCAAACAGTCACCACTGGGATTCTCCACCCAACAGAAGGATGTCAGTCCATCTGGCTCTGGCCAGCAGCTTTTCTGGGGCAGTTCCAGGATGTATGTAAAGAGATCATTTTCTCCCCAACAAAGAGGCAAGAGATCAGAGAGCCTTAAAGCCAAGGTATTGAGCACCACTAGGGCCGAGTGAAACTGTCAAAGGGGGAAAATAAGGTTTGAGACTGGATTTATGTGCAGCTCTTTAAGAGTGTCTGAATCCTGACACCCTTCTGCAAGTCATGGTCGCCTGCCTGGAGGAGAGGGCGCTTAAAGACTGTTTGCAGAATCCACAGGGTTGAATGGGGCCCATATGGATGAGCCTTCCTTCAGGTGGGGAAGGGCAGGGATCCTCGTGCTGGATGATCTTGCAGGTATTGAAATGTTCACTGGAGGGCCGGCCCCGTGGCGTAGCGGTTAAGTGTGCATGCTCTGCTGCTGGCGGCCTGGGTTCGGATCCCGGGCACGCAGCGAGGCACCACTTGTCAGGCCATGCTGTGTCGGCATCCCATATAAAGCAGAGGAAGATTGGCACAGATCTTAGCCCAGGGCCAGTCTTCCTCAGCAAAAAGAGGAGGATTAGCATGGATGTTAGCTCAGGGCTGATCTACCTTGCAAAAAAAAAAAAAATGTTCACTGAATTTTAAGGGCAAGGGCCAGTCCAGAGGGACTCCTGGGTGGGGGCTCCCTCAGGGGGTCGGGCTCGGCTAGGGCAAGCATCTGTTCAGGGAGTGCTGCGCTCCCCCATCTTCCCTCCTTCCTCACCCTGGCTCTTTTTTGCCTGCCACAAACTCCCACCACCCCAATTCCCCCAATACTCAGGCTTTGGCCTTGGGCTCCGCACTCCCTGCCCCTCAAAGGTCTCCTCCCTTCTCATGGCCTTGATGCGTTATCCCAGCAGAGTGCCTCTTCTGCATTCTGAACCTTCACCTGCCTGGTGCAGAGGCTTCACTTTGAGGTCCCACTCTCACCTCTGAATCAAAAGAACCCCTCCCTTCACCTCCCTCTACCCTCCCCCTCTCCCCACTGCTCTCCCTCCCAACCTCCCAGTCTCTGCCTGAGGCCTCACCACTCAGGTTGGTCTCTAAGTTCCTCAGAAAGGAGAAGGTTTCCCTGAACTTGGCCATCTCTGTTGCTTGTCTCCTCTTCTGCCACTGCCACTGCCTTAGTTCCTACTTCCATTCCCCCTCCCCGGCCTCCTGCAACAGCCTCCTAACTGGTCTCTGCCTCCAGTCTTATCCGCCCCCATCTGCTCACCCCTTCCCCTCACATACTCAAAGGAGTGCTAGAGCCTCTAAAGAAAACGCAAATTTCATCTGCTCATTCCAGCTTACCCTTTTCAATGTTCCACAGAGGCCACAGCACTCAGTCCCAATCCAAAGTCCTTACTGCTCTGGAGCTGCCCACCCCTCCCCCGCAGTCAGCAACTGCCCCGGGACCCTGTGAGCCCCAGTTTGAGAAGGACTGACCCACGTTGTTCATGCCCCTAGCCTTTCCTTAAACTCTAGCCCCACACAGCACTCTGCACGTTGCTCGGAAGAGGCATAGACGGCTCTCTGCCACTCCTGTTGTCTGAGTGAGACAAAGGGAGGAGGCCAAGGTCATACAGCAGGTTGGTGTCAGGTTCGGTGGCACTGGGCAGTGCCAGGCTGGGTGCCTCAGCAGGTACAGTAGGTAGGCCCAGTGGAGCCACAGCTGAGACAGCCTTTGTGACCAGGAGATTAGTACCATAGGGGGGAATTGAGCAAGCAAGTAAATATGTCGAGGATACTAAGGACCAGGTTTCTCATTACTGGAAAAGGGAAATGCAAATATAGAAAAGTGGAGTGCAAGAATAAACTCTGGGTTGTTGGATTCGAATGGCAGGAACTGGGGTGAATTCCTGGTTTTAGATATATAAATGTAGATGTGTGTGCATGATGTGCGTGTGATTATACACACATATTTCCTAGCTCTGTCCACTGACAGGGCCTAGAAGCAATAACTTCTCAGTAACAGTGAGCACACTTGGCTGCCAGATCTTGGTTTCTAAATAACTTTGTCCACTAAATGAACCAGGGTTCCTTGAAGAAGTGGTTGATTCCCTGGGGCAGTGAAGTTGCCAGATGAGCCTGGAACATCTTGTACTGCCAAAAGAGTGAGGACAGGCTCAAAGAATGATGGAGACATGTTAAAAGGACCCAGAAGCCAGTTTGAAGGAGCTCCTACTGACCAAGTCTGGGACAATATGAATATCAACATAAAAAATGATAGTAAAGAATGATATATAATCTGTTGAATGAAATAGGAATTAACAAGCCCATACTTATATAAACAAACAAACAAATAAGTAGGAGAGGAGAGAACGCTCTTTCTATGGTAGAATGCCAAGGAATAAATGTAGAAGGAATGATGGAATTACAAAATCATCATTTGGCAACCATCATAATAATTGATTCAGGCAAGAATTATGAATGGATTCTAAAACTAGTGGGTGAAAGTTTAATGAGGAACAGATATGTATATAATCTCAAAGTATCTCCTCCCAAATACTTATTAATTACTGATAAATTGATAAATACAAAATCCTTACTGATTCACTTTACAGTGGGAAAGCCTGGCAAACAACACTTTAATCAAGTGATCAAAGTTAATGTTATTAGTAATGGGACAAATCAATACCTCCTCATATCATGTACGGAGAACACCTCACTCCTCAGGCAAACCCAAATGGAGGGACAATCTACAGAATAACTGGCCTGTGTTCTTCAAAAGTGTCAAGGTCATTAAAAAACAAGGAAAGACTGAAAAACTATTCCAGATTGAAGGAGACTAAAGAGCCATGACACCTAAATGCAACATATGGTCTAGGATTGGCTCTTGGGCCAGAAAAAAAAAACTGGGAAAATGAAAGGTCTTTTGTTGGTGGTTGTTCTTGTTGGTGGCAAAAGTAGTTTTTATTTATTTTATTTGTTGTTCTTGCTACAAAGGACATTAATTATTTGGATAATCAGAGAAATTTGAATGGGGTCTCTATTGATTAGATAGTAGT